CATTATATATTTATTATATATAAATATAACATATATTTTTATATATGTATGTATGTATGCATTTTTTGGTTTATTTATAAATTTTGATGGCACAATAATATATATATAATATAATATAATAATATTATATATATGTATTTATGTATGCACTTTTTTGTTTATTTATAAATTTTGATGGCACAATAAACATTGAAAGGAATTTGGTACAAAAGAGTAACTTCAGAAAGTGTTTCTTTTGCTATTCAATAATACCGTTTTCATGTACCTAAACTTGCAGTTAACTTGCAAATTAAAAGGGAAATCTGAATGTCACTGCTTTAGGAATCTGAATTATTGAATCTCTTTTTTCCATTGATCCAGAACCATGTCAAATAACAAGTCATCCAGAACTTACTTTTCTCTTTGCTCATAAGAATTCTGCATTCTCTGCGATAAGTACTGAGTGACTGTATTAGCAAAATCATGGGAGGGGTGATTACTCTGCTTACCGAGCACTGAGCCCCAGAAGCTTCATGAAGAAATAAACAGCTGAGCTCTGAGCCATGCAGATGAAAGAAGCATATGAGTATCAAGTAAAATGCATAAGGAATCATTGAAATTAAAGCACATGATGCTCCATGACGGGATCCAAAAACAGAAACCTTAATTCCCTGGTAGAAAAAATCTGGCAAAACACCAAAGCTCTGAAAAACAATGCACAGACAGAACAACCCCCAAAGGTTTCTTTCCTCTTTATCTCCAACCCAAGGTACGTATCTTCCCATCACTGGAAAAGCTTTGGGAACAATGCTTACAATAGCTTAATGTTTAACTTACCCAACACATTTATTTTTATTAGCTGAAAATGTGAGTCACTTCAGCTGACGCTTTGGAAAGCCACATATTACCATTTTGCTTATTTATTTTTCATGCATTAGACTGATCTCAAATAGTTTATGTTGACTCCAGGCAGGCTAAACATTCCCCAAGGGCCTTCTTTTCCTCTGTAGCTGGTTCTCCTCAGTTTGGCCATCCAGACCAGAGTGCAGTAATAGATTGTTTCCGAGAACACAGCACAATCTTCTTGTGACCTGACTGCTCTGCTTCTTTGTCAACAGCAGTGACAATGGGGAAGTGCTCGCAAAAGCCTACAACCCCTTTGGGGCCCCTCATGGCTGGGAGGTTCCCTCCTCTTCCTAAACATCATGTACTCTGTATTATTCGTGGGCCAAACAAACGTTAAGGTTTCCTTTACACTTAGGTGACTGTAACATAGTCAGAATATAAAACTTTGTAATTTACTGACAAACGGGGCCATGCAGGCTACAGGGTGAATTCAGAGAGAAGAAATATTTGGCAGGGGTGCTCATCCCTCACTTCTTCTCATATCTTTGTCCAGGTGGACTTCCCTCATTTTCCATCACAACAGTGCTATATTCTCTCCCTTTTACTTGCAAAGTCTAAGGGATAGGCCACTGCACTGCAGCACACTCTGGACTGAGACACAACGTTAGTTCAGAAGAAAAGAGGTTGAGAGATAACAAAAAGTCTTTTTAACAAGTTACAAAAATATTACGGCTGCATACTTTGAGGGTGGCCCTTCTGACTGCGTGAAGTGGTACCTCACTGTAGTTTTGATTTGCATTTCTCTAGTAATTAGTGATGTTGAGCAATTTTCATGTACTTTTTGGCCATCTATATGTCTTTTTATGTGTATCTAGATAGTCTGCCCATTTTTTGATGGGGCTGTTTGTTTTTTGGATATTGTGCTGAATGAGCTGTTTGTATATTTGGAGATTAATTCCTTGTCAGTTGCTTTTTTGCAAATATTTTATCCCATTCTTAGGGTTGTCTTCATTTTGCTTATGACTTCCTTTGCTGTACAAAAGCTTTTAAGCTTAATTAGGTCTCATTTGGTTATTTTGTTTTTATTTACATTACACTAGAAGGTGAGTCAAAGAGGATCTTGCTGCAGTTTATGTCAGAGAATGTTCTGCCTATATTTTTCTCCAAGAGTTTTATAGTATCTGGCCTTACATTTAGGTTTTCAATCATTTAGAGTTTATTTTTGTGTATGGTGTTAGGGATTTCATTTTTTACATGTGGCTATCCAGTTTTCCCAGCACCACTTATTGAAGAGACTTTTTTCCTCCATAATTTGAAAAGACACATGCACTCCAGTATTCACTGCTGCACTATTTATAATAGTCAGGACATGGAAGCAACCTAAATGTACATCAACAAAGGAATGGATAAAGAAGATGTGAGATTATATATATATATATAATGGAATACTGTGTGCATGTATGTGTGTTAAGTTGCTTCAGTCATGTCTGACTCTTTGTGATCCTGTGGACCGTAGCCTACCAGGCTCCTCTGTCCAAGGGATTCTCCAGGCGTGAATACTGGAATGTTCTAGGGGGTGATCCCCAACCCAGGAATAAAACTTGCGTCTTTTTTGTCTTCTGTTTTGGCAGGCAGGTTCTTTACCACTAGGGCCACCTGGGAAGCCCACAGTGGACTATTACTCAGTCATTAAAAAAGAATGAAAGAATTCCATTTGAGCAACATGAATGGAAACAGAGCTAGTCATAGTGAGTGATGTAAGTCAAACAGACAGACAAATATCATATGATATAGCTTATTTAAAAAGGAAAACAAAAGAATTTATGAGACAGAAATAGACTTACAGATATAGAAAATAAACTTACAGTTAACAGGGGATAAGGGATCCGGGAGGGATATATTGGAAGATTGTGATTGACATATACACACTATTAAATATATCAAATAGACAACTGTTAAGGACCTACTGTATAGCCCAGGGAAGTCTACTCAATATTCTGCAATGGACTATTTAGGAAAAGAATCTTAAAAAAGAGTGGATATATGTATAACAGATTCACTTTGCCATACACCTGAAACTTACACAATACTGTAAATCAACTATATTCCAATAACAATTTTTAAAAAGTATTATATCTGCATATGAAAAATAAAAAGGTACAGAAGGTCATGATACAAAAAGTTAAAATCTTTTTCCTTCAACCACTGGTTCTAATAACAGACGACAAAGCTTTTCTATGCATCTTCCCAGGCAGTTACCTTTATATCAATATGTGTGCTCTTATTATACAAATTGCACCTTACTCTATACAAAGATTTTATATACAAAAATCAAAGGTGATCACATACATGTGTCACCTGTTTATTCAGCAGTGCATCTTCCTGTGTCATTATGTATCTAGCTTTTTCATAATTGTATGCAGTAGTGGTCTATTTTAATGGTTAAAAATTAACTTAATATTAAAAAATGGTTCAACATCTTAATAATTATATAAGTATGAAAGCTTATATGTATGAAAGCCTCTGATCTATAAAATTTCCACCATTAGTAATAGAAATGAGTATTTTACAGGTTATTCTTCTTCTTACTTGTTTGCTGTTTAGTATTTCTGTATCAATTATGTTTCAACGTAGGCCTCTGGTAACAGAAACCAGAACAACTTTTATTGTGTGACACTGATCTCTTTTCTCATCATAGAATCTCATCCTGGCTTCTCTGCTCCAACTGACATTGGTGACTGGAAGCAAGGCTTGCCTTTCCTTCCCCACTCTTGACCTAACCCCAGTCAACCGTGTCCATGCACTTCGGGCACAGAGTTCTCATCAGCAGACAGTTCTTGCTGGCTCATCTTTTCCCTGCAGTGGGGCTCAGGGCATTAACTAACCAAGTACCTGGTAGAAAGGAGACAGCGAGCTACATAATTAAAAGTCTGTTCCTTCGGTACTGGGCCTTTTTCCAGTTCAGCAGTTCCCTCTGAGAGACAGCAAGAGGCCAAAGTGTGACTGGCCAACTTCCGACTCCCTGAGTCGCGGCTCCCCGCTGTGGAGTGGGGTCAGGTATTTCATCAGGATGGAGCCCCTGGACCTGGCAGGCAGTTGAGTGAGCGGCGAGCTGACTTAGACAGGCGCTCACCCAAACAATAGTACTGACAATTTTAGTTGGCTCACTCAGCTCGTCTCATTGACGAAAAGTGAAATGTGCTAAGGGGAGTATTATTAGCTTTCAGCTTGCCATAAACTGTTGAGGGAACAAGCCACAAAGGAAATGTTCATCTGCAGCAAGATGATAAACAGGAGGAGGATGCCGACCACGAGGGCGTATTCCTTTTAAGGCTTGTGCGTTGCAAACGACACACTCGCGCACACACACGTTGCAAACGACACACACACGTTGCAAACGACACACACACGTTACAAACGACACACACACGCACGCACACACCCCTCCTTAGTATGTGCTTCCCCGAGGGCATATCTTTGCATAACAATACATTTGGTGAGACCACAGCAGCTGCGTTCTCCCCGCCCCAGAATCGGTGCCCAAGCCCGGCTGCGGCCTCTCCACCGTCACTGCTGCGGCCTCAATCCTCGTCACCGAGGCGGGGGCGGGGGCGGGCAGGCGCGGGAGCGCGGCGGCACCCGGAGCATCCGAATTCCCTCCGCGGCCGCCGATTGGTCAGGAGCCGGGAGGCGGTGGCAGCCCCTCGGCTCTGCTCGCGGTAGCTGCAGGGAGGTGGCCATCTGGGCGCGCCGGGCCGGGGGCGCGGGCTGGGTGCGGGGTCGCCGCCGCCGCCTGGGTCCCTCGGCCGAGCTCCCGGCCAGGGCCGGCCCGCGTGTGTGGCTCTGGGCGCTGCGGCCGGAGAGGCGTCGGGCTCGCGTCCTCTCCGCCGGGCTCTCCTGGGGCGCAACCTGCCTTGGCGCGGGGACAGGTGAGCGTGGGAGGGGGTGGCCTGGGGATGGGGCGGACAGTGACGGAGACGAGCTGCCCCTGAAGGGGGCGGAGGTTGCGCCCTTGTACTACCCCTCCTTAGCACCCGGACCCCAATAGAGCGGAAGCAAGGGGCAGGGTACCAGGTTCCCCAGCGCGGTGCCGGCAGCTGCGGAGGCCTGGCCCCCAGTCCCCTTCCCACCGCAGCCGGTCCCTGACGCTCGGGTCTTCCTGTCCCGCAGTATGGATTCGTGAATCACGCGCTGGAGCTGCTGGTGATCCGCAACTACGGCCCTGAGGTGTGGGAAGACATCAAGTAAGTGTAGGGTCCTGGCGCCCCGCTGCGCCCCCACTTCCTGCCCGAGGCGCGCATCTTCGGCGCAGCCGCGCTCCCACGCTCCCGAGCCCGGCCGGGGGTGGCGGGGCGGGGCGGAGCGGCCCGGGGGGAAGGATCCCCAGGGTCACCGCGGCCTCTCAACCCGGCGGGGCGTGGGAACTCGTGAATCACGCGCTGGAGCTGCTGGTGATCCGCAACTACGGCCCTGAGGTGTGGGAAGACATCAAGTAAGTGTAGGGTCCCGGCGCCCCGCTGCGCCCCCACTTCCTGCCCGAGGCGCGCATCTTCGGCGCAGCCGCGCTCCCACGCTCCCGAGCCCGGCCTGGGGTGGCGGGGCGGGGCGGAGCGGCCCGGGGGGAAGGATCCCCAGGGTCACCGCGGCCTCTCAACCCGGCGGGGCGTGGGAACGCGCTGCCCGCGCCCTGGCGGCTCCCAGGCTCCGAGCCCGGGAGGCTCCCACGCGGAGGGGCCCCGGGGACCGCAGAGGCCTCCGCAGAAACGAATGAAGACTGCTCGCCGGTCGTTCACACACTTTGCAGACTTGTACGATAAATAGGGAAGCCTTTTGGGTCTGCTGAAACTCACTTTTGAGACTGCCTATCGGGCAACTGTGAATCGACCTCGTTTATTCGTCTGAAATAAAGTGAATCCCCCGCCCCGTTTATTTTTGGTTTCTATTACTGTGGTGAGGCAGGAGGGTATCCTAGTTTTCGTCTGGATCTGTGAGCCCAGTGCTTGGGATGTGAACGGAAATAGCGCAGCCACTGGGGGTTTCAACCTGCTGCAGTGACGGTCACCAGCTCTCCGAACACCTTGAGCATTTCAGTCCAACAGAGATCTCTTTTTCTCTCTCTCGCTCTGGTAGAATTTGCCTTTCACTTGTACGGTTGATCACAACCAAGCAGGCACATCAAAAGCCACCATTATGTGGACTTGCATTTTGGGACTACACTGTAACTGTCACTTTTAATTAGAGGGACAGAGAGTGGTACCCGGATGGACAGAGATCACGTTGTTATTATTTACTCTCATTTCCTGTGCTCACTGATTTCATTTTGTTGTATCAAGTAGGTGATGCTTTCATGCTGTTTGTTCCTAAATATATTACAGTTGCAGTGAATTCTAACAGGCTCTATTATGAAGTTCTACGACAGTGATTTCTTACACAGATCTGTTTCCATGGAAATTACCAGAATTAAATATAGAGTAGTAGACTGCAACGTTTCCTTCCCTTGGGTCAGTATCCTTGAGCATTATTTCGTGTTCCCTGAGCCGTTTATGTTACGACGGAGTACATCCGCATGCTATAAAGAGAAGTAGGGGTTTTGTGATTATGGGGTTCAATTAAATAAGAATCTAGGCACTAAAGCTTACTTTGGGACTTGAATTCTCTATTTACCTTATTAATACCTTCATAATTTTAATTTTGCTTGGCAGACAGTTACAGAGAGGCAGGCATCAAGAGAAAGATTTTTAACAGTGTAACCTATGTATAAGACTATTTTAAAGCCATTTTCTTTGTGAATTTATGAAGGCATCATGTATACCAACCATGTGGTAATTTCTCATCCATAAGATAGAAATTCCCAAATTTCCTAGTGGATGTGTGATGACAATGAATATATTCAGAATTTTCAGAGCACGGGATGGCTCTTGTGGTTAAACAGTCTTATGCACAATTGGGTTTAGAACATGTGTCTTCCCCATTATAGATTTCGATGATGTCAAATACAGAAATGAAAAATTGTACCTCATAGAGAAAAGTGTAGGAAATTTAGAAATGAAACTATCAAGTGCTTCATTTATACTGGCCATATTTTCCACAGAGAAGGTCAGAAATATCTAGCGATTTACAAATTCCTTTGATGTGAAACCTTAACTCTGCCAAATCACACTAAGAATGTTTTTGCATTCTTTTTACAAACGTATTAATTTTAGTTAAACATCAGTATCTTCTGACTCATGAATTTATTTTTAAGTTGCATCTAAAAGTATTCTTCATCTGTTTAAGTGCTAATAAATGAAACTTTTTTTTTTTTTTTTTGTAAAATGGAGCAAACCATAGGAATCTTTTTCAAGGATCATGTGCCCCTGGAAGAGAAATGCTATTAGTTTAACTAGTGTTTGCAATTCAGGTATTAAGTTTGACCTTTTTTTTTTTTTTTTAATTTCAGCATCCCTCCTGGTAGAGCCCATTTTGTCTTGGATACAATTTAGTATCTGGATGAGAGAACCTTGCTGAGTTTTTTGCATTGTGGGCCTTAGAATGGTTCACTGTTGGGACCTCTGAGGGATCCCTGGAAGAGTATTTGCTTAGAACCACAGAGATCCTCATTGCCTGGGCCCCATGGGAGACTTTGGCAGGGTTTAACTTTGAAATACTCCCTAGGAGATTCTGAGTTCTCCTCTGACCTCACCACCTACTCCAGGGAGGATTTCTGTAGTCAAAGGTCCAAGATACTTTCAGTTGTACCTTTTTATGAAAACTGAATATATGAAAAACTTTTTTTTTTCATCTCAGTAAATACCAAACTCCACTAGCTTCCTTTTTGCACTGTGAAAAACTATCTAAATTTATTATAAAATTTCATATCATACTCTTTTGGTTTAGGAGGAAATGGCCATCCATCCTTCTTCAGAAAGGATGCCAAACATTTAATGACAAGTAAAATCCAAAATAACAGATTCCAGACAGAAAATCCTAAATGGTAAGAGCCAGAAATGCTTCATTGTAAACTCCCTATTCACTTACACTCTTACCAACAATGTAACCATTTCACAAGAGTTTTAAATTCCACTGTTAAAGAAAAAGAAAGCTTGTCAAGACAGGGTCAGCAAACTTTCTCTTAAAGGGCTAGATAGTAAATATTATAGGTGTTGCAGGCCAAGAGTCAATTTTGAAGATATTGTGTGTATCATCTTTAAAATGTAACCATTAAAAAATGTAAAAGCCATTCTTAGATCCCAAAGTGGCAAAAACCGGCGGCAGTGTGTGGTACTTGACTCACGGATTGTCGTTTGTCCCTCTGATCTAGATCATAACTGCATGTAAAAAAGCCAAAGAAACTTCTGAATCCACCTCAGATCCTGTTTTGTTGCTTTCCTTTCAGTTTTGAGATGGCCCTTTCTGGAAGCCACGGTTCCTAAGTGATGAGAAATATCAATCATTATTTCAGGAAAACATGAAGCCAGGATATATGTGTGTATATATGTGTGTATATATCTAATATATATATTTGTATATTAGAAAAGCATCTCAATATGGAATTTAATAACCATTTCTGTCACTTTGCCATTGGCCCTGGCTAGACGAACATTGATTCAAACTACTGGGTTCAGAATCTTCGTATGAGATTTGGAAATAAACTAATGGCTCTGTTAGTTGATAAATATTGGAGTGCGTTCCTGTAGAAGACTGTTAGGAAGATGATTCCCCTGTGTAAAGAATGCATACGGATTTGGTATGTTTTTATGTGATTTACCTATACAGGGCAGCATGCTTTTTTCATTCACTGATTCAAGTCTTCTTTCATTCTCTAGGTAAGCTTATTTTTAAGGAGCATAGTCAAGTGTTTGAGTAGTGAGGATAGAAAGTTTATGATATGTTAGTTTCTACTGTACAGCAAAGTGAATTAGCTATAATTATACATATATCCCCTCTTTTTTGGATTTCCTTTCCATTTAGGTCACCGCAGAGCAGTGAGTAGAGTTCCCTGTGCTGTACAGTAGGTTTTCATTAGTTATCTGTTTTATGCATATATCAATAGTGTATATATGTCAACCCCAATTATTTCCACCCTCCCTTTCCCCCTTGGTATTCATGAATTTGTTCTCTACACCTGTCTATTTCTGCCTTGCAAACAAGAGCATTTATATTCCAATAAAAATTAATTAAGAAAAAAAAAAGACTGAGTAGAATCACCTCCAAATAGCAATTGAGAACAAAGAGTGGCAGGACTTCATGTTTTATGTATTAGTTTTTGTTTATTTTGGTTTCTCTTTTCTTTTTTATCATTTTTAAATTGAAGTATAGTTGATTTACAGTGTCATGTTGATTTCAAGTGTATAGCACAGTGATTCATTTATACATACATATATGCGTATGTATATAGTCATTTTCAGATTCTTTTTTCTTAAAACTTATTACAAAATACTGAGTATAGTTTCCTGTGCTCTATCTTTCTTTTTATCTCCTGTTGTTTTTACAAAGTAAAACCATGTTGGTTTGGAAAGCTTTCCCAAAAATGTGTATGATATAATCCTTGCTTTCAAATACAGTTTAGAGATATAAGACTGTTTCTAATCTTATTATATCTTGATTTTTTTTGCCTGTAGCTAAATGTGGAAACATTTGGCTGTTGGATAGTATATTCTGACCTTCCAGTTTTGAAAATAATGCTTCTTGGTGAATTTGCTAATCATGAATTAATCATTATGGTTCATGTAAGCAGATGCTTGGCTGTAGGCTAGTTATATGTGACTTTCCCAGTTGCATAAACTTCCCAAGACTAAACTCTATAAAGAAACAGATAATAACTACTTCATGGGGTTTTATATTGAATGATGCCTGCAAAGTGCTTAACACAGTTCTTGATAAATAAGTGCTTAGTAAATGGTAGCTGTTACTTGTGTTACTCTAGAACCAGTTTTCAGGTTTTCCCTTCCCAGCTCCCCTGCAAGATAAGAAGCACCCTTACATGACAGTAATTGACTGATTCTGCACACTACACCTGTTTAAGTGAGCACTCATTGCTCTAGGACAGGTAGTGACTTCTGGTCATTCCACTTTCTCTTTCCCTTTCTCCATCTCGCAGCTGGTACCTGCCCTTTGGGTTTGAGGTGCTCTGAAATGCTCATCTTCTTCTTCTCAGCTCTGAGCACTTTCCCTTCTTACTATGATGGCCTGCATCAAGTTTTCTACGTCTGACTGGTTGCGCTTCTCCCCCTCTGCACATTGTGGGAAGACTTACTCTCATGAT